CGCCGCCCTCTTCTCCGCACAGTATCATGCGTCTGGCACAGATAAATAGAGAGGCGGGGCTTGAGTCCAGCCCCCGCCCCCTGTTCTATGTAGGTTTGTCACCGCTGGGGGGCAGCACCTCATCGCTGTACAATCAGATTGTATCGCATTCGCATATGGTTGGCCATATCGGCAATCGATCATTTTCATGTGGTCATCGATTTTGATATATGAACCCTCATACACAACAGAGACAGGAAATCTCGTGCAATCAGGTTGCAGTGTGAGTGGCACCATTGTATCTCCCGGATGGATTTCCGATTCCCAATTCTAGCTTGCAGTACCCTTTTCCTGCCACCAGATGTCCTCAGCCAGCATAATTTAACCCACTTACTCGGTCTATGCCCGGGGGTATCCATTCTTATTAGTAAATCCTTGCCGTGTACGATTGAGCAGGTTCTGTTGGATCCGGGGGGGGGGGGGGTTTTTTTTTCGGGGGGCCGCTATGTCATTGTAGTCCTGGAATTGCATTCATGTAGGATGGCTCTTGTCAGCGTTTATTTGCCCCCTCCGTTCCAGTTCCAATTACTGTACAAAATACTGTCCAAGGTGGCACCTTTTTTACCTATACCCATAGTGTTTGCGGGTGATTTTAATGCTCTCCTGGATAGGGAACTGGATTCCTCAAATCCTAACAGGGCACCGGGGCAGGAGCTGGTGGGATGGGCGGAGGCGGTCTACCTGTCGGAGGTTTGGAGATGGAAAAACCCTGGCGTTGGGGGGTATTCCTGTGTGTCTTATACCCACAAGTCCTCTTCCAGAATACATATGGGCTTTGCAAATGATCTGTTCCTGGGGTTGGTGTCAGAGACAAACTACCTACCCAGTGGAATCTCTGACCACTCACCCCTTTCTCTCATGCTCACCTTTCCCACGCCGTTCCAGCGGCGGGGATGGCGGTTATCTCCAGGTTGGCTGGGGGAGGAGGGAGTGGCGGGCAGAGTAACACCCCTGGTGGGGGAATATTGGGCCCACAACGAGGGGTCGGCTGAGCCAGCCATAGTCTGGGATGCATTTAAAGCGTACCTCAGGTGTGAATATATTTCCAACATCAAAGTGTCTAGGCGTGACTTCGCCGAAGAACGGGAGGAGTTGCAGAGGGCGGACGAGGAATGTGCTGATGCCTATGCGGCCTCTCCGGGTGAGAACTCCCTGGAGGCACTTAGGACCCATTCACACCTAGGCGTATTGTAATATGCGCGTCTGTCGCGCGACCGTCACACAGTTTTTTTACCGCGCTTCGCGGTAAAAAAAAGTCGCGCGATTCCAAAGTCTACTTGGCAGTATCCAAATGGAAAACGCCCTACAAAACGGCCCAAAGTAGTCCCGGGACCTTTTCAGGCGTGGGCCGTTTTGTAGGGCGTTAGGGACGGGCGGAAATACGGCGAGGTGGGAACGAGGGCATTGACTACAATGCAATTTATATTTTTGACCGTTTTGTAGAGCGTACGTCGAGCGTAGAACGCGCTACAAAACGGTCAGGTGTGAACGCAGCCTTAGAGTGGCGAGAAGGGCTCTACAGGTGCACCTTCAGACCCTGACGGGCTGTTCCCTCCGAGAGGCAGCAGAGGCGAGGTTTGAACAGGGAGACAAGAATGGTAAATGGTTGGCCCGGTTGGTGGCAGATCATCATCCCCTAACAAATGTCCCGTGCATCACCACAGCGTTGGGAGAGCGAGTGACAGATCCGGTCAGGAGGAATTTAGATTGTATTATAGTGCGCTTATGACAGGGACGCACTCAGCTCACTACTGGGAGGGCTGGGGCTTCCTTGTCTTGGGCAGTCGGATAGGGAGATCTCGGTCCGGGAGATAGAGAGGGCCATTGGTTCCTTCCCGGCTGGTAAGTCCCCGGGCCCGGGTGGCCGGCCAGCGGAATGGTATAGATGCTATTTATCGCAGGTGACCCCGCGATTGCAGGAACTGTGCAGTTCTTGTTTGGCAAAGGGGAGACTACCGGATTCCTTGTATGAGGCAAATGTGGTCCTAATACCAAAACCGGGGAAGGACCCACTGCTTTGCTCCTCCTACCGCCCCATAGCTCTTTTAAACATGGACTTGAAGATTCTGACCAAGATCCTAGCGATGAGACTTGGGGGGGGGTCATCTCCTCCCCGGTTAATATTGACCAGACGGGATTTATCCCAGGAACGTCCACTGACACTAACCTGCGCAGGGTCTTCACAAATCTCACCCACACTACTGTAGGGTCTAGGGCTCTGGTCTCCTTAGATATTGAGAAGGCCTTCGACTCCGTAGACTGGGGGTACATGGGGTCTGTCTTGCACCATATGGGATTTGGCCCTAAATTTTGTAGAAAATCGGGGGGCCGCTATGTCATTGTAGTCCTGGAATTGCATTCATGTAGGATGGCTCTTGTCAGCGTTTATTTGCCCCCTCCGTTCCAGTTCCAATTACTGTACAAAATACTGTCCAAGGTGGCACCTTTTTTACCTATACCCATAGTGTTTGCGGGTGATTATAATGCTATCCTGGATAGGGAACTGGATTCCTGAAATCCTAACAGGGCACCGGGGCAGGAGCTGGTGGGATGGGCGGAGGCGGTCTACCTGTCGGAGGTTTGGAGATGGAAAAACCCTGGCGTTGGGGGGTATTCCTGTGTGTCTTATACCCACAAGTCCTCTTCCAGAATACATATGGGCTTTGCAAATGATCTGTTCCTGGGGTTGGTGTCAGAGACAAACTACCTACCCAGTGGAATCTCTGACCACTCACCCCTTTCTCTCATGCTCACCTTTCCCACGCCGTTCCAGCGGCGGGGGGGGGGGGTTGCTCC